GACCTGGATGAGGCTCCAGCACAGGAAACAGAGAAGGAAGGTCAGATGGGTAGGAGGGGAGCCAAGAGAAACATGCAAATGGAGCAAAGACAGCGGACAAGCAGGAGTAATCCAGGGCTGAAGGCTGGCGAAGCAAGACCAGTGATAGGAGAAAGGGGCACAAAACTCAAGAGAAGAGGGCTGAGTTGAACGGTTCATCAAGGGGCCAAGATGGCGAAAGGAGAGTCCGGCCAGTGCAAGGGGGATGGCCTGGGAAACAACTGAGGGGCTGAGGGAATGGAGGTCAGGGGGATGACACAGAACAGGGTTCAGGGCTTCGAGGTGGAAGGATGACAGACTGTGACCAGATAAAGGAATTCCAGAGCTCATCAGCACAGAAACAAGGCATCTGTGGACGATGCCAAGATCAGGGGATAGCCACCTTTGTGAACTGCAGGAGTAGAGCTCAGAACAGGTCATGGGGAATGAGTAAGCTGAGGAACTGGCAAATTAAGGCGTCTGAGGAAGTCTTAATACGTATGTTGAAGCCCCTAAGCTGGATTGTGAACTCATGGAGGAAAGGAGGGGGACGCTCTGGAGGTCAGTCACAGCAGCACCTGGGTCTCCGGGCGGTAGATATGGGCTGAGCAAACTTGGAGGGAGGAGAAGTTAATGAGCGATGGAGGTAGAGGGAGAGCCTGAAAGTAGCAACGATGGACTCGGAGGATTGTGACTTCTACCCCCTGACCAGTGACCCAGGGGGAAACAAATGCTGCGAAGGGTGGTCAGCAAGGACATGTCACTGAGACTGGGTCAGGTCTCCATGAAAGCCAGAAGAAGAAAGGAGTGCGAGAGGAAAAGATGTACAATGAAGGAGAGTTTGTTACCTATAGCAAGTATTCCAGAGAAGACAGTGGAAGGGGTGGAAGGCTTTAGAGAGAGACATGCTGGAGGGGCAGAGCAGGAAGGGATGTCAGGTTGAGAGGTATCAGAATAAGGAACCAGGCAGTGGCAAAGGAAGAATGGAATTTGGCCAGTGACAGCTGGGGTTCAGGATCACTGGGATGGGGAGGTTGTGGCTGGGTGGGGATTTGTTAATCATGACGAATAGGTTCAGATGGGCTCTTAATATCATTAGGGGTACAGCCTCGCATCATACTGAATGTCCAGTAGACATCTTAGACTCAAGAGGTCCAAAATGTCCTCATTATCTTTCCCCCCTAAACGTTCCCCTTCCAAACTTTCCTCATAGTGGAATCGAATTAGGCTACTGGGCAGTTCAGGTGACAGCGGCAGTGGGGGTAGCTAATGGATGACATTTCTCTCCCATCCCTGCAAAAAGGCCAGGTCAGGAAATAGGTGGAGGGTACAAGAAGGAATAGCATCTCTCTGTCCCCTGCAAGCAGGAAGAGGTCATCCTCGATGACCAGGACCGAGGAGAGGACACTATTAACCACTGTCTCATCTTGGACATAGGCAGCTAGGGGCACCAGAGTGCACAGAGTGTTGGGCCTGAAGCCAGGAAGACATCTCCCTGAGCCCCAATCTGGCCTCAGACCCTTACCAGCTGTGTGACCCTGGGCAGGTCACTTCACCCCGTTTGTCTCAGTTTCCTCATCTGCAAAACAAGCTGGTGAAGGAGATGGCAAATCACTCCAGTATCCTTGTCAAGAAAACCCTAAATGGAGGGTCAGACACGACTGAAAAATGACTGAAGAACATCTTTGGTATGCTGTGTGTGTGTGTGTGTGTGTGTGTGTGTGTGTGTGTGTGTTCACTCTCCCTTGGCTCTCCACCTACACAACCAGCTCCTTTCTCAGTCTCCTTTGCTGTCTCCTCATCTTCCTCACTCATTCCCAACTACCTGGTGTTCCCACGGCCATGTCCTGGGATCTCTCCTCTACACTTTGTGTCCTGGTGAAAAAACAAGTTTTTATTGATATTTTCTGCTTCTTATATCCCTACTACTGTAGGGATACTGCTCCCCCCCTGAGTCCAATATCTTTTTAGGAAGGAAAAGAGTCAGCACCACTAACTGACACACTGAAAAAGTGCAAAAATATGTCTAGCACCTGCAGACTTCCCACCCCCCCAACCCTGAGGGGCAGGCTGGGGGTGTCCTCACCCATCTCTTCATCTGAGTCCATTTACTTCTGATTTCCTGGTGTGAGGCTGTTCCTTCTGTTTACATTGTTGTAGTCACTGGGCATACTGTTTTCTGGGCTCTGCTGACTCCCTCTGCATCAGTGCACAGAGATCTTTGCAGGCTTCTCTGTACCTACCATGCATCATTTCTTACAGCACAATAATATTCCATCACATCCACGTGCCATAATTTGCTGAGCCATTCCCCAATCGATGGGCATCTAGTGCGTTTCCAGTTCTTGGCCATCACAAAAGTGCTGCTACACATGTTTTGGTGTTATGTGGAGACTTTTTTCTTACAGATGGCTTCCTGGGGGTATTAAGCCTGCTTATGGAGTCTCTGGTTCAAAGGGTATGGACAATTTCGTCACCTTATTTGTATAATTCCAAACTGCCTTCCAAAATGGTTGTTCTATTTCACAGCTCCACCAACAATGTATTAGCGCTTATCTTTCCACAACCCCTCCAACATTGACTGTTGCCGTCTTTTGTCATTAAAATCTTTTTTTTTTGGTGAGGCCACTGCGGTTAAGTGACTTGTCCTGAGTCACACAGCTAGTAGGTGCTACGTGTCTGAGGCCAGATTTGAACTCAGGTCCTTCTGACTCCAGGGCCAGTGCTCTATCTACTGCACCACACAGCTGTCCCCATTTTTTGTCATTTCTTGCCAATTTGGAGGGTTAAGGTGAAGCCTTAGGGTTATTTTCATCTGCATTTCTCTATTATTAGTGATTTGGAGCATTTTTTCAAGGTTATGAAAACTTTGCAGCTCTTCTGAGAAATGTTTGTTCATATCCTTCGACCATTTATACATTGGGGAATGGCTATTAGACTCACACATATTTATCCATTGCTTATGTATCTAGGCCACCACACTCATATTAGAGAAATTTGACACGATGATATTTTTTCCCATTTGATCACTCACTGCCCTTCTTATCCTAGATGCACTGATGATGCCTATACAGAGGAGCTTTTTGGTTTCAAGTAATCAAAAGATATTTTATCTTTTGTAATCGCCATTATCACTTGTTTGGGTATATACACATCTCTTTCCTATAGCTGTGAGAGGTCCATGATCTGTTTCTCTTCTAATTTTCAAACAGTATACTCTTTATTATTTAAAATTTCATTGTCAAGTCTCCATCTGGGTCTGCATCTTCTGTTTGCAGTTTCTGAACCAAGTTCTATTCTAACTGCATTACTGTCTGTGAAGGATGTATTGACTATTTCTACCTCCTTACATCAGTGATATCTCAGCGACCTAGTACACGTTCAATTTGTGTAAAAATTCCATGCGATGCAGAGAACTACATATGTGTGTATGTATATGCATACACATACATACATACATATATATGTATATATGCATCTATTAATATTCTTTCATTGTCTCATCTGGAAGACACCATAAGCCTTTTAACTCTAGTTTCCTTTTTCTTCATATTTCCATTAGACTTCTCTGAAACGAAGAGAAAGCTCTTGGAGTCTCCTGGAACCGCTGTGTTACTCCTAAGTCTTCCTGAAGATCTGATGACATTTCCCTCATGAATGTGGATGCGAAGGCATTGGGGGGGGGTGTGAGATTATTGCTGACAGTGAGCGGTTTGTTGTCTCTGGTTCCTTCCTTCTTATTTTTTTGAATGTTTACTTTTGCTTTGTCTGACAGAACAATGGCAACTCCCACTCTTTTGAATTCATTTGATGTACAGTAAATTTTCTTCCATGCCCTCAGTCTTATCTGGTGTGTGTCTTTGTTGTTTGAAGCAACAGATGAGATGGCGGGGCTTTATTTTCTTCTCTAACCTGTCACTCCGTGTTTTATTGATTATTTAATCCATCCGCATTTAAAATTACGAGTCAGGAGTACATTTTCCTTCACATGCCTCTGAAGTTGGAGTGTCTTTCCCCAAGTTATGATGCTTTCTCCCCATTTTGGCTGCAAACACATGATGCTCCTTCAGGTACGCTACTCTTTTTCAAGGTGCACCTGTTCCCGTGGGCTCTCCTCTCCTCTTCCTCCCTACTGCCCTACCCCTTCCCTTCTTCTTGGTTGTCACCCTTTCACTTTAGGGTTCTGCTGATTAGTTCCTCTCTCTTGCTTTTATTGGTTATATACTTTTCCCCATTTTCCCCCCTCTCCATCAGGTAGATTCCCCCTTCCTCTCCTCCCCTTCAACTAGTCCTGTTCACCGGTTTTTTTCAAATTTTTAGGGCTCTTCCTAACACTTTGTTCCATTCTCTCCTTTTTTTTGAAGGGTGTGGAACAGTCTTGTATTATAGAAGGTCTTTCTCCAGTTCAAACAGTTGAATTGTTTACTCTCAGTGGGCCTTGGAGTTTGTAGCCCTAGGCTCGTCCGCGAACTCTTTCAACTGGAATCTCACTGTCTATGTTCAGAAGTTCTGGGCAGGCCTCTTCTATTATTTCCTTCATTATGGCAGTGAGGTGCTTCGTCCTGTCTTGTTCTTAGAAGAGACTGACAACCCTTAGGTTGTTTCGACACTGCCTGCTTTGCGTGCTCTGAGGCTTGCCTCAGAGATTCAAGTTTTGCTACTTTGCTCCTTACTTCTGCTGTGCTGGACAGGATTTGCTCTCACCGTTCTCCTTTCTTGGCTGAAGCTCTCAGGAACGGCGGTACTCTGGTGTTTTGTGTATTACGTTTCTGTTTCTGTCTACGCTTCTTGTTGCTCCAGTGAGACTGGCAGTCCCTGACTGAGAGCTGCTCCACTGCTTCTGTCTGTGCCTCAGTACCCCAAACAGCCCCTTACCAAATGCTCACTCGACAACTGATTTCAAGAAACCTTTTTTACAAACAATCACATTTTGATTCCTACATTGGAAAAAGGCATTACAGAAGGACAAATGGAGTCAGTACCTTTGTCCAGGCTGTGGTTTCTTTATTCCCATTTTCTCAATTTTGGCTTCATAAACTCGATTTATAACATCATTTCCCAACTCACACATCAGCTATATGACAAGAAAAAAAAATAAGTAATGGCATTTTTAAATAACAATTTTAATGCTCAAAACATGCCCAGCGAGTATTACATCGTTTCTGATTCTGCGACAGGCTGATTTAAAACCCAAGCGGCCCACGACTAAGAAGACACTCTTATTTTAAATGCCCGTTGTACCCTTGCTCAGGAGACCCAGAGAACAAGTGAAGGCTACTGAATTACAGGAGGCTCTCTTACTTGCCCAGTCACATGATTAAACAAATCAGGGCATATGGACATAATGGATCACTACTGTGCTGTGTGGTGTGAAATAAGAAATATGAAGAAGGAGCAGCCCCACGCACCGGATGGAAGGCCCACAAAAGCCACGATGGCCCAAAGGGACAGAGCCACAATGAAGCCCCAAAAAGAAGAGGAGGAAGCATTCCCCCTCCCACCCTTCTTTGCACAGGTCAGAGACTGGCTGGAGAACAATGCAGGCACTGAGGACTTCAGTGATGACGGTGTGCAGTTGGCTTTATTTTGTTGAAATACTTTTTCCTCTCTTTCTTTACTCTTTTTGTTCAAGGGTGATTCAGTTGGTAGGAAAGAGATAGATATGCTTAGAAATAAAGGTGATATAAAAACAAAGAAATGTCAGTAAAGTTAAAGCAAATAATATTACCTTTAGAAGCTCAGGCTCCCAGGTATCTAAAGTTAAAGAGCGTACTTTTGAAAAGTGAACCCCAAGACTCCTAAACAGAAAAGAACTGCATTAATAAACAAGAGTATCCATTCTGAACTCATTCCAGATTCATCCATGCTCCCCAGCCCAATTAAACATGATGCCACCTGACGAGGCCCTGAGGCCTCCATAAGAATGCCCAGCAGGACAGGATGGCACAAGTACCTCCCACTTCCCAGGCACTTTGGACAGTCTCCTGTGTTCTGCCAGACACATTCAAGCATCCAGAAGCGGCTCTGCTCAGTATGTGGACTGGCCAAGAGCAGCCTGAGAGAGCCCTGGGGGCCCCAGCCAGGCCAAGGCTCAGGAGGGAAATGGGGGGCAGGGGGAGGAGAGCACCTACCGGTGTATACCTGAGCACTCAATGCACAGGGTTATGCCCAAGTTGATGCTGGCCCACCGGGGGTCAGGCAGGCCACAGTCGCAGCAGCTGGCATTCCCAGGAATGCCCTGGACCCGCTGTAAAGCACTTTCTCCTTTTAATAATTTCTCTTTTGACTCATTCCCAGATTCCAGGCTTCCTGTAGACGGAGATGATTTTTTATCCAGCTTCTAGGAGAAGGAAAAGTAAAATCTGGTTCTTATTCCACGTATTCCATGTCTCTGCTGGAGCCTTCCGTTATATTTTTAGTTTATTTTGCACAATGAAATGACTGGTTTATAGAAATACTCCATAGACAGACTATCCCAGAATGCTAAGGAAAAGGCGTATCACCAGAAAAGCAAAGGCCATTCCCTGTTACCGTCTCATGCAGGACTCTGCCGAGGAGGTAGCAGGTGCCCTCAGTGCCTGCGATGACCACGCCAGGGCGGCACACAATCCTGCATTTGCCAGACAGGTCCTAATTCTGGCTAAAGGCAACCTCTAGGGACTCAGTTTCCCCACCTGAACAACCAGAAGTTAGACAGATAACCTCCGAAGTCCCTTAAAGCTCTGACCATCTATGAGGCTCCAATCATCATTTCGTACAAAACACCACAGCATTCTGCAGGTGCAGCATGAGTTAAAAGGAAAGCTCCAATTATCTGACAGAACTAGTCCTAAGTACTACCGGCTGACTGAGGAAAAGCCAGGAAATGACTTTATGAGGATACAATGATTGAGTAATCCATCACCTACAGAGAAAAGCCAAGTGGCTCTACTCCTCTCCCCTGGATGTTCCCTAACCCTGAGGAGGGATCCAGCCTCTGCGAGCCTCAGTTTTCTCATCTATCCAACAGGGATCCTATTAGTCCTGTGCTCCCTGGCAGCTGGCCCTAGGCTGGCTGGTCTGACAGAGAGGCCCTGGAAACGAACAGGAAGCCAGACACAGAAAGGGCCATAAAATCCGTAGGTGGGCAGAAATGATGGGCTATGACGTTCAAAACAGAAAGGTGAAATCAGGACCCTGCAGGTGGTCTCCAGAAAGAGAGGCCAGGGCAGCACTGGGAAGTTCCAGCAAAGAACTTTTGGATGGAGATCAACAGAGCAAATGCATTGAGGGAAGTCAGAGCAGCAGCTGCAGCAGCTGTGACAGCAATTAAAACTGCTACAAGTAGGGGCAGCTAAGTGGCGCAGAGGATAGAGCGCTGGCCCTGAAGTCAGGAGGACCCGAGTTCAAATCCAGCCTCAGACCAAACACTTGACACTTACCAGCTGTGTGACCCTGGGCAAGTCACTTAACCTCAATTGCCTCACCAAAAAAAGAAAAAAGAACTACTACAAGTGCTTTGAGGTGGTCTCACAACATGCCTAACGTGTTAACTCATCTGATCTTCACAACTTGAGAGAGACAGGTGCTGTGATTATGCCCGCTTGGCCAGGGCCGCACAACCAGGAAGTATCTGAGGCAGAAGCTGAACTCTGGACTTCCTGAGTCGCTAACTGCCTGGCCACAAGACAGGAAAGGACTACGAACCCACACACCAGAACCAAAGGAGGAAGGCTACTGTCCAGGGCCAAGCCCTCCCTCTGGGTCAGCTACTATTCCAATTCGCTATGGGATCCTGCACAGAGGCAAGAGGCCAGTTTCCTCCCTCCCCTCCACCCATTTTGAAGCACGAGGCAGGAGGAGTGCCCAGGACAGGTGGGACGAGCTCCGACTTGGCCTCCACCTCCCAGCTGGAAAGTCTGTCCCAAGCTCCAGCCTCCAGCCACCTCCCTGGTCTCCGTCCCCGCTACCCCACATCCCACAGGCCTTCCGTGGGATCCAGGCCCTGCCTGCGCACGACCTCCAGACGCCCGAGACACCCCAGCGGACCTCCCAGCCCACTCACCTCGGTCTCGTCCCCCTTCTCTCTATAAGCAGTGGCGATGCTGGTCTGCACAGCCTTGATCCACGCCTGGCGCAGCTTCTCGGAGTCAGCCTGAAGCATGCAGCTTCTGTAAGAGGCAGAGCACTCAGTCAGGCTCCTGTGTCCACAGGGGAGCTGCCCCGGGGGCAGAGGTGCAGGCCCAGGTCTGGGAGGGTCCCCCCCAGCGCCGCTGGACCCTACCCTAAGCTGGACAGGCTGGCCGACAGGAGCCAAGTGCCTGCTGACTAGCTGACTAGTGGATGGATTCACTGCAATGAAGTGGCGGGCTCTGGGCTCTCCAAGGTTACCCACGGTTGATCTGTTCACCGATAATGCTCTTGGTCCTTTCTCAGGCCTTCTCCTACTGCACCTGAAACTGCTGGAGGCAGCTCTGGGGCCCAACAGGGCAGACGGTGGGCCTGGAGCTCAAATCCAGCTTCAGATACTTACGAGCTTTGTGACACTGGGCAAGTCACTTGCCTCCATCTGCTTCCATTTCCTCATGTGCAAAATGAGGATACCAACAGCTCCCACCATGCAGGGCTGTCGTCAGGAGAAAATGAGGCAATACCTGATGATATTTACAAACGCCCTGCAAACTTCAAAGCATGACATCAATGTGGGACACTGATCCCAGAGTCCTGAGGGCACCTCTGGGGGCTCTGAGCAGGGGAGTGACATGCACCAGCGCTAGCCTTACCCCCAATTCAGATTCCGGGTCATGAGAACACTATTTTGCCACCTCTCGACACAAGGGGACTGCTACAACTGGTCCAACAATTCTGGAATCATACCCAAAAATGGTAAGAAAAGTCCATCCCAGCCAATATGTATGTGCCCTGGGCTAAACTCTGGGGACACAGAGAAAGGCAAAAGACAGACTCTGCTCTTGAGGAGCTCACAACCCAATGGGGGAGATGACAGCTGTGTACAAACAAGCCACTGACAGGATAAATCAGAAATAGCCAACACTTCCGGGAGCCAAGATGACGGAGTAAAAAGGTAGTCGCTCTCACCCTCCCCTATCCACCTCTGAAAACTCAGAAAATATCACCACCCCCCACCATAAAAAACAACCCTGGAACAGCTGAACTAGAAGAAAGACGGGGAATAGCAGTGCAGCAGCCCAGCAAACTGGTCTCCCAGTGCCTCAGTGAAAATAAGGGAAGCAGCACTACAAAGGGTCCCAGGCGGGTAAGTATCCTGCAGCATTCATCTAAAAGGAGCTGAAGAAAACAACCTAGAGTCTTCCTAAAGTCCCAGCCTTGCTGATTCCAACCCAACACCAGGTAAGCTGTCAGAACCCGACAGCTTCCAACTGTCAATCAGGAGGAGATCCTGAAGCCCAGGTGGCAGAGCAGGCAAACACCAACACCTGGACCTCCGAGTGCCTCAGTGAGGATGGAGGAACCAGTGGAAACCAGCTCAGAAAATCACCAGGTGCCTCGGCACTCTACCACAAAGGAATCTCCCAGTGCATTAGCAGAAACAAGGGAGGCAGCATTGAAAGGGGCCCCAGGCAGATAAAGCACCCATCTAAAAGGAGCTGAAGAAAGCTTAAGGAAAGGAAAAGCAGGCAACCTAGAATTGCCTGAAAGTTCCAGTCTTGCTGATTCCAGCCCAACGCAAGGTAAGCTGCCAAAACTCTACAGCCTCCAATTGCCAACATAAGAGGCCCCAGCACACAAAGCCAGTGACCAAGACCTAGGCTTCCAACACAAGAAGCTTGGGTCAGTGCCCTCTGTTCCCCAGCAGGAGAGCTCAATCTCTTTAAAGGCCAGGGAATAAAGAAACCATGAGTAAAAAGAAACATACCATAGATTCATATTATGAGAAGAGTGAAGATCAAGACAGAAATTCTGAAGAGGACAACATTGTCAACAAACCCACATCTGCAACATCAAAAGGGAATATGAACTGGTCTGAAGCCCAAAAAGCCTTCTTAGAAGAGCTCAAGAAGGATTTTAAAAGTCAAATGAGAGAGGTAGAAGAGTCCTTAAAAAATACAATTGGCCAATTGGAAAAAAAGTACACTGAAGAAAACAAGTCCCTAAAAACACAATTGGCCAATTGAAGAAGGAAGTACAAAAACTAACAGAAGAAAACAATCTGTTAAAAACTAGAATTGGACAAATGGAAACTGTCTCTATGAGAGAGCAAGAATCAGTCAAACAGAAACAAAAAAATGAAAAAATAGATGAAAATGTAAAATACCTCATATAAAACAACCGACCTGGAAAATCGATCAGGAGAGACAATTTAAAAATATTGGACTACCTGAAAATCATGATGAAAAAAAGAGCCTGGACAGTATCTTTCAGGAAATCATAAAGGAAAACTGCCCTGAAGTCCTAGAACCAGAAGGTAAAATAACCATAGAAAGAATCACCACTCACCACCTGAAAGAGATCCCAAATTGACAATGCCAAGGAATATAATAGCAAAATTCCAAAATTACCAGATGAAAGAGAAGGTGCTGCAAGCAGCCAGAAAGAAACAATTTAAATATCATGGAACCACAGTCAGGATTACACAGGACCTTGCAGCTTCTACATTAAAAGACGCAGGGCATGGAACATGATATTCCATAAGGCAAAGGAGCTTGGAATGCAGCCAAGGATCAACTACCCAGCAAAAATGAGCATATTTTTCAAGGGAGGAGTGGATATTCAACGAAATAGGAGACTTCCAAACTTCCTGATAAAAAGACCAGAGCTCAACAAAAAATTTGATCTTCAAGTAAGGACTCAAGAAGCATAAAAAGGTAAATGGGACAGAAAGATACAATATGTTGTTAATAAGGGGGAGCTGTTTACACCCCTACAAGGGACTATGACACCTGCAACTCTTGAGAACTGTATTGTTATTACACCATGTTAAAGAAGTATACATAAAGGGGGTGGATATTAGTTGACTTTGATGTAATGATAAAAAAAAAATCTAATCAAGGGGTTAAATGGATCCAATAAGTGGATTAGTCTGATCTTAGGAAATGTACTGAGAAAGGAGGAGGCAGACAAGGGTAAATTACATTACAGGAAAAGACAGAAAATCCTATTACACCAGAGGGAAAAGGGGGGGGTGAGCATTGTTTGAACCTTACTTTCATCAGGTTTGCTCCAGAAGGGAATAACATAATCAGTTAGATATAGAAATCTAACTTGCCCTACAGGCAGAAGGAGGGAAAAGTGGAAAGAAAAGGGAGGGGGGATAGAAGGGAGGGAAGAAGCAGTAAGTGGAAAGGGAAGAAAAGGGAAAGGGATGATAGAAGGGAGGAGAGACTGAAGGAGGCAGTGGTCAAAAGCAAAACACTAGTGATGGGGGAAAAGGAGAAAGAAGAAAGAAAAGCATAAACAGGAAAAGAATGGAGAAAAAGATACAGATAGTAATCATAACTGTGAAAGCTGAATTGCTATTTTTTTCCTCCTCTGTTGAGTTTTGTTTCCTCTTTCTGATGGCTCCTCCTATTGGTTTTAATTTTTACTTACAACTTCACTAATGTGAAAATATGTTTAATAGGAATGTAAATGTATAGCCTATATCAGTTTGTGTGCCGTCTTGGGAAGGAAGGGGGAGAAAAATTTTAAACTCAAAAGCATACGTAAGTGATTGCTGATAAATGAAAATAATGAAAATTTTTAAAAAATGACATAATTTTTAAAAATTTAAAAAAATAAAAAATAGGGCATACCATAATAAAATATTGTATACATTGTCAAAAAAAAAGAAAAAAAAAGAAATAGCCAACACATGTGAACTGATCCAACCTTTCTGAAGAGCAATATGGAACTGAGCCCGGAGGCCTATAAAACCAGGCCTACCCTCCAACCCAGCCATACCACTACTAGGTCTGAAAGACATCTAAAAAAAGGGGAAAGGACTTATTTATAGAAAAATACTTAGAACAGCTTTTTGGTGGCCAAGAATTGGAAACTGAGGCAATGCCCATCAATTGGGGCATGGCTAACCAAGTTATGGTATATGAATGTAGTTGAATACTATTGTGTTCTATGTTAAAAATGATGAGCAGGTGGATTTCAGAAAAACCTGGAAAGACTTGTATAGACTGATGCTGAGTGAAGTGAGCAGAACCAGGAGAACATTGTACACAGTTAAGAGCCACGTTGTGCGATGACTAATATTGACAGACTTAACCCTTCTTAGCAATACAAAGATCTCAGACAAGTACAAATGACTCACGATGGAAAATGCTCTCCACATCCAGACAAAGAACTATGGAGTCTGAAGGCAGATGGAAGCAGACTATTTTCTCTTTTTTGTTGCTGTTTTTTGTTTTCTTTCTTATGGTTTTTCCCTTTTGTTCTGATTCTTCTTTCACAACGTGACTGATGTAGAAATATGTTTAATATGAATGTATATGTAGAGCCTATATCAGATTGCACGCCATCTTGGTGAGGAGGGGGGAAAATTTAGAACTCAAAATCTTATAAAAGTGAATGTTTAAAACTAAAAATAAATTAATTAAAAAGAAAAAAGAAATAGCCAACAGGGAAAACAGAATTAAGAGGGGTAGGGAATGGCTTCCTATAGGAGGTGGGGTTTTAGCTGGAACCTGAAAGAAGCCAGGGAGCTCAGTGGGCAGAGCATGCCAGTCCTGGGGGACGGCTGGCCACAGAGAATGGCTGGAGCTGAGGGATGTAGGCTGAAGAAAGAAAGAAAGGCCTTTTAAGCAACAAAATAGTGATGACAGCTCTTTCTGCTGCAGCAAAGACCTGGAAACAAAGTAGATGTCCTATGACCCTGAACTGGAATGACAAACACAAAGAAATGCTCTTAAGGAATAATCAGCAGAGTAATGTGGAGGAGTGTGAGGAGAGCTACAAAGACTGTCATAAGGACGACAGCAATGGCCACAGTCAGAATGAAAGCAGTAAGCCCAACGTGGCCACGTGGGACCCCAGCACAGCCCGGCAGCCTCACTCCCTATCTCTAGGGGATAAGGGAGGGCAAACAAAAGGCACTGATCTAAAAAGAATGGGAAGCGAGGTTGGCCAGTCAGAGGAGGCGAGCCTTCTGTGCATGGAGCGCTCCATGTCCTTGAAGACCCTCAGCAGAGGGCTCTCTCCCCCAGTCCTCCCAAGGCCATGCGCTGTCTCCCCCAAGAGCATGGGAGCTCCTGGAGGGAGGGGGCATCCTCGCACCCAGCACCTGGCCTGTGATCAAGACTGACGTCAGATGATTCAGAACTCACTTTGTGGGTGAGACCACCTCGAAGCAGAACCGTCTCTCCACATCTTCACAGTGCTTCACGGTGCAAAGCCGCAGGTCTTCAACGACCACCGTGGGAGTGTCCTATGGGAAGAAAGCACAGCACAAGCTTCTGGGGCAACCGAGCACTGGACACTCATTAAGCCAAGCCCTGAGTGACACAGAACTGCAGAAGGTGAAGCAGAACCAGAGGGGTCTCCATGCTCCCCCTCCCCCAGCGCACACCTATGGGAGTCTCCACACCAACAGGGATCAGCCCTCAGCCTGCTGGCAAAGTCTGAGAACAAGGTCTGGATTCTTCATTTTCCTGTCGTACAAGCTCGATGTCCTCCTTGTCCCTGCCACCGTGAATCCCCTGCCAGCCCACTGCCTCTCTCCTGCCACGGCCACACGTCCTGACCCACGGAGTCCCAGACCAGCCTTGGGAAGGCTGCCAAAAGCAGGCGCCTCCACGTCCTTTCTCCCATGCTTCTTAAAATTCTGCCATCTGGCTTCCAACTTCCATAATAACTGAAACCACTCTCTCCAAAGTCAGCAGTGATCTCTTATTTGCCCAATCCGATGGCCTTTTCGCAGCCCTGGACATTGGTGATGACCCTCTTTTCTCTGTTTTCATGACACTGCTCTCCTAGGCTGGATTTTTATTCAGGTCCGTCCCCCCCGCCCCCTCGCTAACCACAGGGGTCCCTCAGGACTCCCTCCTGGGCCCTCTTTTCCTTCTACATCACTACATCCTGACCTTCCGGCTGGCATCTCTGACTACCTAGTCAGTATCTTTCACTGGATGTCCTGCACACATGGCCCAAATGGAGCTTGCGCTATCTTCCCTGTCACCCAGGCTCACACTGGCATCATCTGATTCCCTACTCTCAGTCCCCAGAGCCAATGTGGTGCCACCTTCTAAGGAGGGGATCTTTGTAACGTCTCCCTAGTAAGTCTTCTCTCCTCAGACGCTGCCTCAGCCCTGGCACGGGCCTTCATCCCCACATGCACCACAATGCAGCACCATGGCAATGGCTGCTTGTGGGGGGAGGGTGGTCTGCCTGCCTCGAGCCTATCCCCTCTCTAGCCCTTCCTTCACTTACCTGTCAAAGTGACCTTCCTAAAGAGAAGCTTGACCACGTCACATTCCCCTGCTTCCTCTTCAACAAACCCTGCTGGCTTCCTGTCGTCTCCAAGAGGAAACAGAAAATCCCATTTTGTGTCCTAGCCCCTTCTGCACACTATTCGATTCTGTGACTCTATTGCCATTTCTCCCCCAGTTCTGGAATACTCTGCTCCCTTCAAGTCCCAGCTAAAATCCCATTTCTGCAGTAAGTCTTTCCTGCCATTCACACTAGTGCCTTACCCTGGAGATCACCTCCAATTTGTCCTCTGCCTGTGTATCAGCTGTACATAGCTATAGACGCCCTATCTCCCATGGTATTAATGTTAACAGCTAACATTTCTACAGCATTTACTACGTGCCAAGCATTCCACCATGATCGTGTCATCTGACCCTCACAACAACTCCGGGATGGAGGTGACATCACGATCCCCGTTTTCAGCTGAGAAAACCAAGGGAAAGAGAGGTTCAATGACTAGCCAAGGAGTATCCAGCTGGGCAGGGTGGGAGGACAGATCTGAACTCAGATCTTTCTGACTCCAGGAGGGTAAGACCCGTGCTTCTGCCTTTCCTTGTATCCCCAGTGCTTAGCACACAGTAGGCACTTCACAAAGCCTACTGACTTGATTTGACTTAAAAAGAGATTGTTGCTTTAAAACCACATCTTTGAAAGAACAAGAAACCTCTGACTAGCTCTGCTCATAAAGAAATCTGTATGGCCCCAGGCGGACTGGCAATGTGGCATTACCCTCTTGATCTGATCAGGGTCAAGAAGCCCTCGAGACAAGTCAGACATAGATATTACTTTTAAGACCTTCAGTACTTAGTCTATCTTCACTCATCAAACTATCTAGAAAGACACGATGTTGGGGTGGGACCCAGCGGGACCCCAGCCACCCACGCACTTTTGGCTCCCCTGCCCCGACACACACCATTTATCTTCTTTTAAAGTTACTTGGGGGCCCAGGGGGTTAATGACAAAGAGACAGGTCCCACATCCACCAAAATGTTTCTAGAAGCACTTTTTTGTGGTAGCAAAGAACGGGACACGGACTGTGGAACAAGCTGTGAATGTAATGGAATATTAACATTACTAGGGAGTGAGACATGGTAGACATGGTGACTAGAAAGAAGCACGGAAAGGCTGAGATGAACCAAAAAACAATCACACAGGGATGACGAGGGAAATGGAAAAAAACCGACAACAAAAAGAAACAATGCTGTGAAATGGTAACGGAGTGCGGCCCCAAAGCAGAACGATGAGGGAAAAACCTCGCTGCCTTCCTTCTCACACTGCAGATGATGCTGAACTCACTGGCCTTCTTTGGGGATGTCTGGGAAAAGGGAATGAAGCTCAGGACATCAAAGGTACATGAACAGAAAAGTTACCAATGAAAATGTAAAAGGCTTTTGGCTCTGCTCCTCCATTTGATGACCCATGGTCATCACAGAAACAAGTGACACACCAAAAACTGTCCTTTGCAACTCCTGAGTCAAATACAATTTGGTTTTTTCATATATCACATTTTGAACCTTTTTACTAGGAAAAAAATGTAACATAGGCTTGACTCCCCATCTAATGTACTACTGGAAGATGTGTGGCCCTGAACAAAGAGAAGACAAGCCTTTGGAAATGCACAGCACTTTCCTTCTTGATGAACAGAGTGACACCCACCTTGAATTTTTTCTGGTATACCAGCTGATTATTCTGTATTGAGAACCAGCGTCTAAACAAACAGAAAGCAATTTGGTTATTTGTAAACACAATTTATTTCATTTGCTGATCAAAATCACTTTTTTACTTTTGGAAAACTAATACAAATTGGCCCATAAAATTATGTTTTTAGAACTAAGTCATGACCATTTTTGTCAGTATGAGATGCATATGGCAAAACAGAAGGATAAAAAAGGGGGGGAAAGCCAGCATTTTTAAACTGCAGAGTTTAAATTTTGATTAAAGGAAATACAGTTACTTGAATTAGTTCTTCTGTGGCATATGAATTTCTACACTAACAAATATTATTCTTTAGTATTCCTATATTAGATACAAAAATTAGCATTGTAAAAATCACCCCATATTTTAAAAAGTATGTCTCCATAAGGAACCCCAAATAATAGAGTTTTTGTTTCTATTTTTAGTGTCTGGATGGAGATGAACATTGCAGAAGTGGGAGAGGGAGAAAGAGTGGATGAGAAGGCACTTTTATATTCTGTATCGCCCATCCACCACAGGAAATGTGAAATCAATGCTATTTTATGACTGCTAAACTTTTCTGCTGTAATGGAAGTGATGAAGGGAAGCAGACAACTCCTCACAAGCACTTGATCTGAGGAAACTGGAAATGACTCATTTTAGAAGTGAAATCAAGGCCCATCTGTGTGCTGTGCTCTATGCGTGTATGCATGGGGGGTGTGTGTGTGTGTGTGTGTGTGTACGCCCAGACACACTCCTCCCTCCACCCGCCCCGCCACGGCCTTCACTGATCAGTCTCACTTTCACACTGAACACTTCCAAACCGTAAGCTCAAAGTGAGGCGGCCTGTAAACCTTGTCATCCAGGCTGCTTCCTTCTGTTTTGTGCAGCAGTGGGTGCTGTACCTGCTCCCCAAAGTGCCTGTGATCTCCTTTAGAAAAAAGATTAAATATGGTCACATTGACTCATTCTGAGCTACAGAAATCAAAAGCAAAAGGGCCCCCAATTCTTTTGGTTTTATAGCCTCAATCAGGCCATTCGTTAAAGGAAGCAAACTCCTCAAACGTAAAAGCTCAAACATTTCAGTCATTTTACATAAGCTCCATGGAAGATGATCCCAATTCCAAACGTTAGTAATTAATCCACCAGCAGGTGGAAATTCTACCTTTCCATTCTGACAAAGACACCTGAAAGTGTTCAACAGAAACACTTTCAGCTCCTAGGAGCCCTTCAGTTATCCAAGTGAAAGCTGAGTCTCCCAGGCAGGGAAATCGTCTGTCACAACGTGATGTGCTCAGCCAGTCCCCTTCTGGCAGGCAGACAGCTAGTCCTTGAATCCTCTCCCCCCTTGTATCGCCTTTGCCATCTGATGAGACAGATGTCATAGCCAAGCATCCAGGTACAAGCCTGGTGTGTTACTTCTATGAGAAAATCACCAAAATGCAGGCTAGCAAAGGAAGTCATTCCAGGCTTAATCTGTGCTTCTGGTCACAGGTGGTTAGACAGGTTAAAGGTGATGCCTACACACACAAAAGAAAGAGCCCAGCCGGCCACACTGGAAAACATGCAATGGAACAAATCTCTGGAAATGATCAAACATCTGCACTCCATCAGGTACGCAGTGCAACCATCAGCTCCTCCTCTGTTTGCTGTATTGTCATGGACAAAAAGACAGTGGCTGAGGGCTCCTGCTTATTCAAGGCTTCATGGGAAATGTGACAAGCTGCCAAACTTCTGGTTATCTTAGACTATCCTTCTCAAAAAAAATCACAGATAAGATGGCTGCTGAGCTCAGGTGCTTGGCCCTCCCACAGGCAACAGTCTACACTAACTATGGAATTCTACCCTGATGTCACCTTGGCCCAGTCACCTGTGGGGAAGGCAGATTAACAAAAGTGATCTCACAGCCAAGCCAACATGAAAGGCGGGGTGGAATTGTTGCTCCTCTCAACTCCACATGAAGTGGTCCCCACCTCCCCCTCTTGGCTCATAAGCTGACTCTAGATTCTGTTAGGGAATGGACACATGGCAGGTCAGTGTGAGCATGTGGGCAGTGGCAGGGAAGAGGGGAGGTACACCAGGGTCCAGAGGAAATTTATTCTTTTTTCTTTTTTAAAGGCAGTTGGGGTTAAGTGACTTGCCCAGGGTCACACAGCTGGTAAGTGTCAAGTGTTTGGTCTGAGACCAGATTTGAACTCAGGTACTCCTGACTTCAGGGCTGGTGTTCTATCCACTGTGCCACCTAGCTGCCCCCATTCTTGACACTCTATACAATTCCTGGTCCTCAGAGTGTTCTCAATAAGTTAAGAATCCAGCCTCTAAAGGCCACATTCAACTGTGACCCAAACCTTTGGAAGGACAGCTTAACGCCACAATCTTCTATTTTCAGTGACCACAATGAGAGCCAAGGGCACGTAATATGTGAGCATCAGGAAAGTAAACAAAATCTGCCTAAGATAACTGTAGAATCAGCTTCAGTTTCATACCAGTGCACTCCATATGTAAGAAAGACCCGGCCTGGATTTAAGGCCATAAAATTAAATCAGCAAAATCAGATGTTCCTAGCTATTTTAAAAAACTATTAGACTACGAGGACTTTAAAATCAAATTTTTGGAGGGCAGGGACACAAAAGTGGACCGTTCACCTTCAACCCACTGGGATTCTTCCCTCTGTGGGTACTAGTCTCACAGCTATACTTGATGTCAAGAACAAAGATCAGCTTCCTGCTTCCAAACTAAGCTTAGTTCCAGCCCCAACAGCAAGATGTGGGGAAAAGGATGAGTTCATTCATGTTCTCAAGAGAGACATATCAGCTGAAAATGAAATAAACTTGAACGTATGCTAGCTATATCATGCTGATAATGTCAAATTCCATTTTTTTTACTCTTTTGTTTTTTTAAAGCAGATGATGGTAACAAAGGGCTCTGGAAACTTAGGTAGAAAAGGTAGAAAATATTTCTAGCCTCTGACCAAAGGGGCTCATGCTACCCCAGCACAGAAAACAGCCACACACAGAAACTTCCCACATGGCTGCCCTGAAGTGGTGCCAAGACTGGTCTTTCTGTTTCTGTTGGGGACTGGGAATGTAGAAAATGTTCTTTGCCAAGTTAAAAATGGGACACCTTGGCAGGGAGTCCTCCTAAGAGCTCTTCCATCTTGATTTTTCAGATTTGGTGCAAAAAGAGACTTTATCCATTGCAAGTAATCCATGTGAAATGTCAACGGTGGTTAATCGTGAGCTTTCTCATGCCAAAGGGAACACTAGAGAGGGTGGAAGGAAAAGAAGAAGCTAATTGGTACCTGATGTGATCTGGCTTTCTCCTGTCATGTGAAAAAATGGGGCAGGATTAAAACATAAGGGAAAGGTAGAAAAAAGAATGAAATGCAAATGAGCAAAATAAGCAAAGGCCGAGCATGATGTGAAAACCAAGCAAAAATGAGGCGACCGTCCGTAAGCAGAACGTCATTGGCCCCTGTCCCCACAGGTCACAACTGAGGACCCTCACTCGCACTGACCTCTGGCCCCTGGAGGCAGGCAGCATCGTGAAGCCTCCCTCCTTAAAGGCATGTTTGTCGATGAACAAAATAAAATACAGAGGAGTACAAGGGAAACCAATTCTAAGGAAATACAATGATCAGAATAGAGTTTTTCTAAAGTTTACAAGTCCCAGGTTTGGCATGGACAAATTCTATTCAGAGGATTCAGTAATTTGGGTCAAACATGACTGAACTCTTTTTTTTCTTAATCTAAAAAATGTATGCTACAAATTTTGAGGGGAACTCATTCCAGGCTCCTTCGACAGTAATGCACAAGACAATCCTTGACCCATGGCACGAAATTTCCACGCAGTCAGACCTGACTACGTGGTTCTGTCTCACTGCTGCCACTGGCACCCAGCAGCCAACCCCTCCCCATCCCATTCTTACTTCTACAACAGGAGCTTGTCTTTGTTATTTTTTGTTTGTTTGTTTTTGGTGAGGCAATCAGGGTTAAATGACTTGCCCAGGGTCACACAGCTAGTAAGTATTAAGTGTCTGAGGTTGGATTTGAACTCAGGTCCTCCTGCCTCCAAGGCCAGAGCTCTCCACTGCGCCATCTAGCTGCCTTGTTTGTCTTTGTTAAGATCGAAATGATGGGCTTCCCAGGGACACCTGTGATCAGGGGATTTGGGAATTTTTTCTGGATGCAGTATTTCTCTGCCATCTTTCTGCCTTAAGCTTCTCCATCTCTACCCAACCCCTAAAGAGCTGTCAAAGTGATGACCACACAACTAATCAGTCACTTCTCAAGAACCTCCGGAGGTACCCTCCTGTCCCTAGGATCAAATTCTCTCTCTTCCAAACTTCTCCTTCTGGTTTCTGGATCTATCATTTCTACAGGTTTTTTGGGGGGTTTCCAGGTCATCTACATCTCAAATTTTTAACATCATGTTTCTCTTCTGTTCCATTTTGTTCATGTATGTTTGTAGGAATATTATTTCCCCCCAGAAAATTGCCTTAGTTGCATTCCAGAAATTTGGGCATGTTTCATTTTCTTTCACAAAATTATTAATTATCCTTATAATTTGTTCTTTGCCTCATTCTTATTCATGATTTCATTATTAAGGTTACAATTGAGTCTGTGTCCTTTGTACTCTGTCAACTGATTCTTTTTATACCTTATGGGCTATGTAAGAAAGATTTCAGGGGGCGGGGCTTCCACAGCAGGATAAGAAATTCCAAGATCTTGTGGGTAGTCTCTCAGCCAATCAGAAAGTGCTCCCAACTTTTCTGTAAATAACTAGTTCTTAAGGAAGAGCCCTGGAGGCTAAACCAGTTGCAAGCAGCCAGGTTCAAGGACAGGGCCTCCACCTGGCAAAGGCTTTTCTCCACAGCTTGCTTGATAAGCTTATTGAATATGAACTGACACACCCCAAGGGCAGAGACAGCCGCCATTTCTGAACATGGAACCCATGAAGTAGGCAGAATTAACAGAACATGGACAAACATGCAATAGGCTGTCCAGGAAGGCTGTAACTCAGATGAACTAGACCAATAGAAGCCCTGATGGGTGGAGTATGGATCTTACTAAAGGTTTAAAAGTTGATTCTACCACTGAACCAGTACCCACGTGCTACTGAAGTGTGTTGTGCCCACTTCTCTCACGAGAAGTATAATAAAGACTTTCTTTCACTCATTCACTGTAGTAGATTTTTGTTTCAGATTTTTCTAACAGGCTCTAAAAGAGTGTTAACTCTTTCAGTCTTTTTACATTTGTTTGCAATATCTCTGTACCCTAGTACATGGTCAATGTTAGCGTAAGTTCCAAGTGGTGCTAAGAAATACACACATTCTTTAGCAGTCCCATTTAGAAGATGCCATGACATTGAACTCTGGTTTCTCAATTCTCTATTTTCCCCTTTGCTTATCTCTGTTAGACCTGTCCAAAATTGAGATAGGGATATGGAAATTTCTAGCTATTATTTTATTACTATGTCTTCCTGAAGTGCTAAGGCATTCAGAGCACACAGGTTTAACACTGATATTGGTTTGCTGTCTCATTCCTTTCAGCACGTTGTAGTTCCCTGGTTTCTCTCTTATAAAAGCTTGATTTTGCTTTGTCCAACAGCATGAGTATAGATCTTGCTTTTTTGGATTCAGCTAATATATAGCAAATTGTGTTCTAGATCTTCACTTTTAGTCTGTGTCTTTGCTTTTTTAAGGGGGGTTTCTCTTAAGTAACAGGCTGTGGCCTTTTGTTTTCTTATCCAGTAGGCCCCTCTTTTGCATTTTACTGGATTGCTTAATTCATTCATATTTAAAGTTAAGAATAGGGTTTCTCTTTTTTCTTCCATTTGTCTCTAATCCCTCCCACTGGCTCTCTTCTCCTCATGCTTATAGTCCCTAAACCCACCCCTCTTTATTTTCCCTTTCCCTAATTTTGGAATTTTGCTTATTAGTTCTTTTCTTTCTTCCTTTGGTCTAGTTATTTAATTATTACTCATTTTTTTCCTTTTCAGTTAAGTACTCAAATAAAACACCCATTCTTTTCTTTCCCTTCAGACTGTTTTTGTTATTTTATTTTTTGGGAGGGAGGAGGGGCTAGGCAATGGGGTTAAGTGACTTGCCCAGGGTCACACAGCTAGTAAGTGTCAAGTGTCTGAAGCTGGATTTGCATTCAGGTCCTACTGACTCTTGGGCCGGTGCTCTGTCCACTGTGCCACCTAGCTGCACCTTTTTGTTAAGTTTTTTAAAAAATTTATTTCTGTGCTTTTTTCTAAAAATGATTGTTCTCTCATTCTCTTTATTATCTTCCCTTTCTGTCTATTCTAAATTTTTATTCTTTGATTCACGGTCTTTATAATTCATAGTCTCAATCCAGTCCTTCTCGGGTCTCTATATTCCTCATGGAATTCATACTTCTAACATATCCACTTTAAGTTCCCTCTTTTAAACAGTTTCTATGCTGTTGACTTGATGATACAGCCATTCCCCCCCCCCCTTTTTTGTGACTTACTTGTAGAAACATCCATTTCTGTAGTTGAGAGGATATCATCCCATGGAAGTAATTTTCATGCATACCTGACTGTGTACTTCATTACTACGCTTTGCACTCTACATGATCATCCCATTTGCTATGAAATCTCCTCTCTGAGTCTATGCTCCCTACTCTTTGGAGTGTCAGGTGCCTTCAGGAGCTCCAATTTCCCTTCTCCTGAGGTAGGAAGAGTGGCTGCTCTATGCATCAAATCCATGCATATTACACTCAAGGAAGGTGTTCGTGTCCTTTTATAGACCCTCTCCTCCCCCACGGAACTGTCTTTCCACAAGATTTCCCCTTTCTTTCCATCGGTTTTATCCCTCAAACCTTTTAGGGCTCCCTTTCCCCCAACCTCCTCAGATGAAACCTTTGACTCATAATTTACAGAAAAAAAATGACACCATTCTACATGAGCTCCCTCGTCTGCCTTCTTCCTCATCTCCCACTGCTCAGGGGCTGTCTGCCCCCTCTCCTCCTTCATCCCCATTTCCCGCAATAAGATGACTTTACTCATGATCAAGGCCAACCCTTCTACCTGTACAAACGATCATTTCCATCTCATGTCCTCCAGAAGATGGCCCCCTTTGTCATCCCCACTCTTTCACTTATTTTCAATTTCTCCCTCTCTGACGGCTCCTTCCCTACTGCCCACAACCATGCCCAGGTCTCCCTCACTGGACTCTTCCATCCCTGCTAACTATCACCCTACTTCTCTTCTGCCCTCTGTGACTGAGCTCCTTGAAAAACCACCTGCAACTGGTGCCTCCACTGCCTCTCCTCTCTGTCTTTTCTTAACCCCTTACAACCCAGCTTCCAACTGTATCATTCCACAGAAACTGCTCTCTTCAAAGTTATCGGTGACCTCTCCTCCAACGGCCTTTTCTGTGTCTCCACTCTCCTCGACCTCCCTGCAGCCTTGGACACTGTGGGTCGCTCTCTCCTCCTTGACATTCTCTTCTCTCTGGGTTTTCAGGACACCTCTCCCCACCCCGCCTCCCCACTCTCTGATCACTCTACTCTGCTGGATTCTCCTCCAAATCACCCTCAAACTATGGGTCTCCCTCAGCTTGTCCTGGGCCCTCTGCTTTTCTCCTTCTACAGCACTTCACTTGGTGATCTCATCAGCTCCCATGGATTTAATTGCCATCTCTACTTATCCTGCTCCAATCTCACATCTCCAAGTGCCTCTCAGACATCTCAAACTCGATGTCCAGCAGAAATAGTAAACTCAAATGTCCAAAACAGAACTCATTATCTTTCCCCTTAAACTCTTCCCCTCCTTCTTACCTTCCCCATTATTATGGAAGGCAACGCCATCTTTCCAGTCCCTCAGACTACTCACAACCTAGGAATCATCCTACATCCCTCACTCTCTCTCACCTCCCGTATTCAAGCTGTGGCCAAGGCCTGTGGATTTCACCTCCTTGGCATCTCTCTTCCATTTCACCTCCTTGGCATCTCTCCTCCATTTCACCTCCCCTGTTCATTTCACCTCCTTGGCATCTCTCCTCCATTTCACCCCCTTGGCATCTCTCGTCCATTTCACCTCTGCAACATCTCTTGTCCATTTCACTTCCACAGCATCTAATACCCCCTCCTCTCCTCTGACACTGTCCTCACCCTGGTATGGGATCTCATGATCTCACACTTGGACTACTGTAATAGCCTTTTCAGTGAGTGTGCCTGCCTCACTGCTCTCCCAACTCCAGTTCATCCTCCTCCATTCAGCCACCAAAGTGATTTTCCTAAAGTGCAAGTTTGATCCTGTCATCTCCCTACTCGACAAACTCTAATAGCTCCC